TGAAAGGGCCAGACAAAAGCGTTATTTTTTGTCTCTTCTTTTTTTCTTTTCTTTTCGTTTATAGATGTATGTTTCCACATGCTCTTTTTCTTTCTTATTCTTTCTTTCTTTCTTTTTACTTCTAGGTGTATACATAGTTCTCCTTCTCCCTCTTTTTCTTATTCTTTCACTTTTCTCCTTCTACGGCTCAACCACCACCACCTCTTCCTCCTCCTCCTCATTCTTTTCCTTCTTCTCCTCCTTCATCTCTTCCTCCTCCTCCCCTCCTCCTCCTGCTTCTTCTCCTCCTCATCCTCCTCTTCTTCTTCTTCTTCTTCTTCTTCCTCCTCCCCTTCTTCCTCCTTCTCCTTTTTCTTCTCCTTCTCGTCTCCTCCCTTCTACTTCTCCTCCTCCTCCTCCCTCCTCTTCCTTCCTGTACCTCTTTTTCCTTCTCCTTCTCCTCCTCCTTCCCTTCCTCTTCCTCCTTCTCCTTCTCCTTCTTCTCTTCTTCTTCTTCCTCCTCCTCCTCTTCTTTTTCTTCCTCCTCCCCTTCCTTCTTCTTCTCCATCTCCTCCTCCTTCTTCTTCTTCATATCCTTCTCCTTCTTCCCTTCCTCGTCCTTCACTCCTCTGCCACTTCCTCCTTTTTCTCCTTCGTCTCCCTTTCCTCTCCCTCCTCCCCCCCCCCCTTCCTCCTCATCCTCTTCCTCTCCCTCTTCTTCCACTCCCTTCTCCTCTTTCTTCCCGAACATAAAGCTTGCGAAACGAGTACATTTCTCCCGCACAATGAGCTGGATTAGAGCGGCCATAACTCGGAACGGGGATGCTCTCCAGACACACAACGCGGCAGTCCGAAGTCATTACATTATCATAATTCAAATTCTTGAGGAATTAAGGCCCTCGTGTCGAAGGAGAGGAGGTGAGGCTGCTGTTGTCTGTGCAAGGTCGTCCTTTGTGCGCGCAGGTCATGACAATAGCGTTTGGGGGCTGGAGGCGACGGCGGGGCAGAACAAGGCTTTTGTGGAAGGAAAGAGGGGGAGGGAAAGGAACGGTAGGGGTCACTTTAGCTCTTTCCTGTCTTCTGTTTTTTTTTTTTCTCTCTCTATCTTTCGTTTTTTTTTTCTGTCCGTTTCTTTGACTCTCTCTCTCTCTCTCTCTTCTCTCTCTTCTCTCTCTCTCTCTCTCTCTCTCTCTCTCTCTCTCTCTCTCTTCTCCTCTCTCTCTCTCTCTCTCTCCCTCCCTCCCTCCCTCCCTCCCTCCTCCCTCCCTCCCTCCCTCCCTCCCTCCCTCCCTCCCTCCCTCCCTCCCTCCTCCCTCCCTCCCTCTCTCCCTCTCTCAGTTTTCAGACCTAGTCTTAGTCATGGAGTAGCGAAGAGGCTTTCCAAATCACGACCTTCATGAACAAGTCCTTTTTCCAAGAAGACGCCAGCCGAGTGCATGAGTGGCCTTTCATGAAGTCTCGCTGCATGAATGGTAATTGTGGCACGGGGCAGGCACTAGGAAGGCACGCTCGAGGATAAGTAGCGTTTGAGTAGCTTTTTGGTATTTGGGTCACAAGGATTGTTCGTCTGTTTGTTGTTGTGGTCGTTGTTTTAATCATCTTTATTTTGTTATTTTTTTTCGTTATTTTATCTTTGCTTCGCCTCCTTACACTGGCATTTATACACAATCACTCAAGGAGTCTAAACAACTTCATCAATACCACCTACATCGAGAAAAGAAAACGCAATCGACTTATTGAAACACCTTGACCTCGCAGCAGCCCCCTCAAGGCCCACCTCGAGGCCCACCCCGCCGTCCCTCCCTCACCCCCCTCCTCCTGCTGCAAGTGCCTGTGGGGCAGTAATGATCGAAGTCCTTCAAGGATGACAGGGAGAAGGCTTTTACTGGCGTCCTTTCTTGTGAATCATCATTGTTTTACTTTGTATATCATTTTTTTATTATTTTTTTCCGAGAACTGCTCCATTATCTTGAGAGTTGGGGGAGAACATTGTTATATTATTGATTGTTCTGATTCTTATGTATAAACTTTTCTTTCTTTCATTCTTTCTTTCTGTTTGATGTGCGATGCATATATCTTGTCTATGAACATTATATATTCATCGAATTCACGAACAGACATCTTCATAAGACGAATGAGTATTTTTATATTGTTTATTTACGCCATTCTCGAACTTATCGCTGCTTCAGTGAACAAAATAAGATGCCCGGCCTAATGAATATTTATCATACGGACGCATATACTCAGAAATAAATGCATATTTACCAGTCTAGACATGCATATCTACCGGATAGATAAATAGATAAATGTGTATGTATCTGATAGATAAATAAATATCCATTTATTTCAGGCCATGAAATGGATGACGAAATAGACAAAAAACACGAAAACAAAATGGTATGATATTGAAATACGCAAAAAAGCAAGGAAAAATACGATGAACTTTGATACACAAAAAATAAGGAAAGAATACGGGTAAAGAGAGAGAGAGAGAGAGAGAGAGAGAGAGAGAGAGAGAGAGAGAGAGAGAGAGAGAGAGAGAGAGAGAGAGAGAGAGAGAGAGAGAGAGAGAGAAAAGAAAGCTATATAATTCAAAACACACACAAAACATAAAAAGAGCGATGATAAAACAAATTATATTCTTATTTTCGCCGCAGCCGTGCAGTGCAATGGGCGGTGGGCGGTGACGGCGACTCCCCACCACGCCCTTTTATTGCCTCTCTCGGGTGGGCGGTCGCGGCACCTCCTCCTTCTCTTTTTTTTTTTTTTTTTTTTTTTTTGTCCTCTCTCTTTTCCTATTATTTAATGTTTCTTGATTTTGTCTTCTTCATTTGGAATCTCTTATTCTTGTTTCCCCTATGTACGTTTATCTTCTTTTCCTTCCTCTCCTTTCTTATTGTCATTTTCTTGTCATGTTATCTAGTTTAATTTTTTACATATTCTTCATCTTCTTTCATACAGACTTTTCCCTTTATTCCGTCATTCTATTGATCTCTTTATTGCATTCGTCTTTCACATTTTTTTTTTTGGGGGGGGGGGTGCGGGTTGTCTTTATTTCGAAATTTCATTCACATTAGCTTACCCATTTTTTATCATTATTATTATTTATCTATTTATTTATCTATTTATTATTTTTTTTTTCATATACAATCTCTTTCTCCGCTCTGCTTCCATCACCATTTTTTTCTCTTCCTCTTCTGCGAAAAGGAAATTATAAAAGGAAAAAAAAACTGAATAACAACAAGGCATTAACAGCAAAGCTCCGATGAACGTTGGAGGAGAGTCTGTTGTCGAAATTTGGTTTCTTAAGATCTCCTGTTTCTTCTTGGAACTTCAGGCGGAAGTACCTCGAAAAACGTGTCCTTTTTCGTGATTTATTATTATTTTATTATTATTATTTATTATTATTATTTACATTATTGTTATTATTATCTATAATTATTATTAATTTATAAATCAAATAAATTGTTATTTTCGATTATTGTTTTTGCGAGTCTTCTAAAAAATAAAATATGTTGGCCTCCTTCCCCCAACCGTTGTCTTCTTGGATAAGAATATCGAAGTATTGCATATTCCTTCAAAATAAGTGCATATCACAATTTATTAATTTTTTGCGCTTTATATTTCCAGTAAAATATGGGTAATAGATTTCAGAACACGAATACACATAGTGACATTAGGAATAATTTCGAAAGAGAGTAAAGGAGAAAGAAAGAGATATTCAGTTTACATGTCATGTGCGTGAGTTGGATCGTTTGTCATGGTAACCCAGTAAACACAGATATCGAACGAACGCTTGCGATAAATTTCGCTATCTTTTTGTCTTTCCCTTTCTTGTTAGGCTGTCTGTTTTTTCATATACCCACTCATTTTAATTATTATTATTATTATTATTATTATTATTATTATTATTATTATTATTATTATTATTATTATTATTATTATTATTATTACTATTATTATTATTATTGTTATCATTATTATTATTATAATTATCATTATTATTATCATTATTTGTACTTATTTCAATCCTTATTTCCATGCGTAATGTCAAGGGAAACGCAGTGCAACCTCTATGCCTCGTTTACTACAGTGTTTTTGTTCATCGTTTTCTCCTTGCTTCAGCAACAAAAATTATTTCGAGGACAAGGGCCACTTAACCACTTTCTTTACATTTTTTTTTTTTTTCTTTGTTTTTCTGTCTCACCCTTCCCCCTTTTTTTCAGCTCTCTTTACTTCTTTTGCTTGAACATTAATAGTTATCACCACGTCACCGCGGCGCCTACACAGTATTAACTTATATCTTTCTTAATCTGAACATTGTAATAAGAAAAATAAGAGAGGAAAAGAAATAAGAACAGAGAAAAAGAGGCTAAAAGGGGAAAATGAAGAGGTGGATTGGCAAGAGCAAAGTCCCGAAAGTGGGAATCAGGAATCTTCATTAAAGGTCTCACCCAGCGGCCGCGGGGACGCTCCGAGTCACAGCGTTAAAGATGCACTGGCGAGACGCATTGCGGGTGTGGCTGGAACGAAGCAGACGCGTCGGGAAGGAAGCCCAGGGGGGTCGGGGCGTCGGGAGGAAGCACAGTGGCGGGGTCAGGGGGTCCGGGAAGCGAAGCCCAGGGCGGGTCAGGGGCGTCGGGAAGGAAGCCCAGGGCGGGTCAGGGGCGTCGGGAAGGAAGCCCAGGGCGGGTCAGGGGCGATCGGGAGGAAGCCAGGGCGGGTCGGGGGGCGTCGGGAAGGAAGCCCAGGGCGGGTCAGGGGCGCTCTGGGAAGGAAGCCCAAGGGCGGGTGCAGCTAGGGGCGTCGGAGAAGGAAGCCCAGAGGCGTGGGCGTCCCAGGGGCGCTGTCGGAAGGAAGCCCGGGCGGGTCAGTTGTGGGTGGGAAGGATAGCCATGAGAGGGACGGTCAGGGGCGTCGGGGAAGGAAGCAGGGACGGGTCAGGGCGTCGGGAAGGAAGCCAGGGCGGGTCGGGGCGTCGGGAAAAGGACAGCGAGGTGACCGGCGGCTCCCGGAATTAGGGTGTGGGAGAACACGGAGGATTTAGGGGGGGGTGTGTTTGCTTTAGTGAAAATAGACGGTTGGGGTGGGTAATTGATGGTTTGTGTGTGTGTGTGTGGTGTGGTGTTTGTTTGTTTTGTTTGTGTGTGTGTGGTGTGTGTGTGTGTGCCTGTGTCTATGCACTGTGCAGTATATTGTGATCTGTATCTGTAAGTGCGGCGCAATCCTCCTCTTGCACGTATAACTCTGATCAAATAAACGCTGTTGCCGCGTGTGTATCTAAGGGGAGCACTCTGATCTGAATTATAATGAGCGCTCTGTCTATGAACCGTTGACCGTCACGGCTGCCCACGCACGTTTGGCCCTTCCAGCCTTCACGCACATCGTCCCGCTTCCCCGGCCAGCTGCTCTCGTGACACGGCCTCCGAGGGAGGTGTCATGTGCGAGGGCGGCGGCGGCTAATGACATGGGACGGAGGGAGAGAAGGCGAGGCGGTGTTGGTGACCTGAGAAACTATATATCAATTTGGATATTTGGTTTCCTGAACTTAGGGAATGCGTGAATGCGGAGACAGATAGTAGAGGATGTTTTAGTGACAATTAAGGGAACCCAAAACCAGGATTCTTTTGTGTTTATAGAAGAAAATACTGGAGATTATTTGCCGTGACTGGAATCAGATCAGTGATGCAAAGATCTCAGCTTTTTTCGTCGTCGTTGAAAAATCAATGTTTGCATTTTTCTTTCCCGGGTCAATTTCCAAATCAATCCAAAGCCATGACTGCAAGCGAATGATTATGAGAGGAAGAGACCAGGCATAGGATTTGTTGCAATGGCGATCTTGCGGCGGCTTCTGCGTTTGACTCCATTGCTTTTGCGAATTCAGAACTTCATCTTGATGTTTTTAAAAGCGTTGTGTGTTTTGAAAAGGTGCACTAATTAATCCTTATCAGCAGTTGCTTTGTTATTGCCCGGAAGAGGGAAGAGAGAAAAAGTCAATGATGTTACTATTCAAAGATATAAGATAAGATAGATAAATCAAGAAATAACGGATGTCATCTGTTGTGTTTCTGATTTTATGCATAAGACACTGTTTTAATATGAGCAGAAATTAAGAATTTATGTTTCGTATAACCACAAAGCTGCACTGTGGGGATGAGCCAGAATTTTGTTACATTCAGTGAGTATCTGATGTAAATTCTCTATTTCTGGTGTGGTTCTCGGCAATAAACTGACTGGTAGAACGAAAATTAACATCCACATAGACCTTCCCCAACTTTTCTAGGTCGTCATTAATGTTGTTTAAGACGTGAATCATGATGGGAAGAGCAAGAACATACCGACCACGCTGGCCCAGTGCGGGTTTTAAGGGGGCTCCCATAGGCGCCCTTTCAATACACGCTGTGACATCCGTTCATAGCATTTTTATATTCACTTATGTAGCATAGTTTGTTATGGTGAGCTTTTTTGAGTTGTATTCGCATTAAATGCTTAACCCTTTAGGATGCATACCTAATGCCGTCAGAGGATTATAAGTCCATACATCTTTTTGATCCCGGAATGTAGGTTGCAGTAGTACGGTGGTCACTGAAGCCACTCTGCGATGACATGAGGAGCAATTCATGAATTGCTAAAGCGAGGGATTCTTGCCACATTTTCAGCTTACAGTGCTGGTGTTGTTCGCAACGGTTTTTAGTAAGTGTGGTATATCATAAAATCCGCATAATTGTTTTATGCTTTTCCGTTGTTGTATATAGTCAACAAAATCAATGTAGGCAACGGATGAAGTGTAAATTATGCCCAAGAATTTTATGGTTCAAAAGAATGCAGATGGGCAAATATCATAGAGGACATTCGATGGGCCTGTGATGCAGCATTAAGTCTCCATCTCACACATGTAGACACACAGAGAGAGAGAGAGAGGGGGGGGGGTAAAGATTCCTCCTCTAGAGAAATAACAAACAAACACCACAAATAAATTGGTTATTTTCACATATGTGTGTTGTGTATGTATACATAATAATATATAAACGTATAATATATATATATATATATATATATATATATATTTCTGTGTATGTGTGTGTATGATATATACTATATATAAGATACTATTATATATATATAAGTATATATATATATTATATATTAATATATTATATATATATTTATCATATAATACATAATGTATATATATATACTGTATATTATATATATTATATAATATATATAAGGGGGAATGTATATATATATACTATATATTTAATCACTTACTATAAGTATATATATTATAAATCAAATTATATAGAATATATAATATATAAATATCATGATTATAAATATAGTATATAGTAAATAGATACAGGTTATATATATATATGTATATATATATATAATATTATATATATATATGTATATATATATATAATATATATACATATATATATATACTATTATATATATATATATATACATATATGTGTATATATATTATATATATTATATATACTTCTTTCTCTCCCT